GTTGGGTCATTAACAGAGGTAAATGTAACTAGATAATGCAATTAACTGATTTTGAGTGTGGTTGCACCATTGTGTAAATGCTTAGTTTAAGACATAGAAATTTGACAAAAAAATGTTCACACGACTTAGTTAGGTTAGACCTTCTCCAATGGAACTGCAAAACGCAATTTTTGCAGTTGAATTTGCTCCAAGCATACGGCAAACGCAACTGGATAATGCGTTGCCACCCTCTCTCTCCTCTCTTCCAACGCAATTTTGCGTCTGATAGCAAAATATGCGATTGTATTTTTTTCAAATTGCATCCAAGCCCTTATGTTTTGTAACACTATCCCAATATACCCCACCTATAATATATATTGTATATAATAATTATGTTTTATCTTTTATAAGTTAAATTTTACACATTGTAGTAATTATATATATATTATATTTAGTAAATATATTTAGTAATTATTGTTAATTTAAATATTTTTTTATTTATTTTTATGATACATTATTGGTATTTAAAGAAGAAGTTACAAACCATATTATATTAATATTAAAAAGACTACAAATTTAACAAATAAAAAAGACATTAATATTACCAAATTAGTTATAATATTGAAAGATAATTTAGAACAACGGAAAATAAAAATACATCATATTTCCAAATTAGTTATAATATTTCTCCGATTTTATGATGTATATAATTATTACTTTATAATTAGTTTATTACATAAAGTCCAAATTGAATTGAAAATAATAGTTTGGTTTAATTTGTAAAGTTGTAAAATATGTGGATAGTATTGAAAATTTGTAAAAGTTGATGTAAAAGAGAATATTCTTTTGAGTTAGAGAATGGGTTTGTCGGTTGGAAATAAATTACTGCAAAATGGAATAGGTACTACAAAATGAGTTTAAGTATGAGGTATTCAGTTGAAGATGGCTTTAAACTGGCTGCTAGGCGAATATTGTTGATTAGGACAAGTAAAATAAATAAATAAATAAATTAGGCCTTCAATAAAAGTGTTTCAAATGTCCTAACAAACATACTATTGATACAATGTAATCAATTCTTTAATTTCAAATGTCGTAACAAACATACTATTGATACAATTTAATCAATTTAATCGATTTTACAATTTAGTTTATCAAATTTAATAATTATTAATAAAATTATTATTATAATACAAAATAATATATAAACCATACTTGATTAATACTAAAAATAATTAAAAATTAAATAATAATATAAATATGCAAAAATTTAATTTAAGAACTTTATATTTATGTAAAAAAAAATTCAAAAAAGTCAATTCTATCCGATATATTTTAATATAAAATTGGTATTCACCGATAATTCTAAGAAAAAGTTATATTTAAAGGGTAATTGTCTAATTGTGCTAGTCGAATCAAATGTATCAGGTACTACCGGCGGGTAAAATAAGTTATTTAAAGCTGTTGTGTTTACAACATTGTCCAAAAGTAATTCTCAAATTAACCCTATCCCTTTTACTTATCACGATAAGATGAAATAAAGCCTTAACTAACTTTATCCGGTGTTTACTAGCAGGGATCGTGATTGAATAAACCCTATGTGTCATTTATGTGGCAAGTGGGCACACGCATGTACCTATGACTGGCAAGATAATTCTATCACATCTCCAGGGTGGGATATTTTTATCACAAGACAAAAATGACATTTTTGTCTAAAAAAACTACATGTATAATGTCTATTATACCCTTAAATGTCCATTATGAAAAAACTTTAGTGAATGAGTTTGTAAAGACCAATGTATAAGACCAGAAATTAAATAAGTTGTTCAATGGAATAATATGTTTGTTTGGTGGTACATATAGTACATACCTTTTGAAATCCGGTGTCCCCATTCTTAATAAAAATAAAAATTACCATAATATATATATTAAAAAAAATTGATACATTCAAATTCTCTAAAAACATCAATAGATTCCAATAGATTTTAATCAACAAATTTTTATAATAACTTTGTAATCAAGTCTAAATATTTTT